TGCTGTTCTGACAGCTAGTACATTAGAGGTAAAGAAGTCTTCCAAATGTCCAGGTGGAATCTACACTAAAAATGCCAAATAAAGCCCAAGGGGTAAAAGAAAAAAAAAAATACAGTTCTTCAGCTGATGCTGTTTATTTGTTTTAATTGGATGAATCTCTCATAAAATGTTTCAAATAAGCAGTTAAATCCTGTAGCTCCCAATTTAAAACAAAGCTGTATTATAAGGTAATAAAACCTGATGCATAAAAACACATTTATGGCTCCTGGAAATTAAAAAAATTGCCTTTGCTGTTTTGACAGCACCCCTTATTGTTGTGTCTAACGCTGCAGACAGACAGACAGGTAAATTGAGAAAGAGCTTAGTGATAAAAAAAACTTGACTGAAGAAGTACTTGCTCCTTCAACTAATGAGAATATATAATTTTATTACAAATATTAATGTTAGCACAGCTGTTGTTTCCTTCTGGCATTATTTTTGGAACTATAAACAAAATATTTGATGTTACAGAGAAAGTGATTTATTTATATTACGGTAGTATCCAGAGTGGAAAAAAGGCATAAAAATTAGGTCCTTGCTTAAAAAAAATCTTGCATTAAAAAAACAACCAAACAACAGCAAAAATATCCTCCAGGTTATAGAGAGGAGAATAACTTGGAGAGAAATAGTCCTCTGAAAAATGGCCTATGTCATGGCTTTTACTTCACTGTAGGAGTGTGGACTGAGGCAAAAAGGTTGTGATCAGAGAACATAGGCACAGTTCAAAGCCACTGGCAGGCACCATAGCTCAGTACAGCTCACAAACATGTAATTGCAAAAATAGCTCAATTATAGCTCATCTGCAGGTCAATTATAGCTCATCTGCAGATGCATGAGAAATGCAGGTGATGTAGTTCCACCGTTTATCTTAGCAATATGAGCCGTGAGCCAGCAATGGGCCCCTGTGGCCAAGGCGGCCAATAGTATCCTGCACTGCGTTAGGCAAAGCATCGCCAGCAGGTGGAGGGAGGTGATAACTCTCCCTCTACTCAGCACTGGTGAGGCCACACATGGAGTGCTGGTCCAGTCCTGGGCTCTGCAGCAAAAGAGAGACATGGAGATACTGGAGTTAGTCCAGCAAAGGGCTGCTAAGATGATGAAGGGGCTGGAGCATCTCTCCTATGAGGAAAGGCTGAGTGAGCTGAACCTGTTCAGCCTGGAGAAGAGAAACTGAAGGGGGATTGTATCAATTTATTAAAATATCTGAAGGGAGGGTGTAAAGAGGATGTGGCCAGACTCTTCTCCGTGGTGCCCAGCGACAGGACAAGAGGCAATGGGCACAAATTGAAACACAGGAAAGTCCATCTCAACATATGGAATACTTCTTTCCTGCGAGGGTGCCTGAGCATTGGAACAGGTTGCCCAGAGAGGTAGTGGAGTCTCCTTCCTTGGAGATGTTCAAAAGCCATCTGGACACAATCCTGGGCAACGTGGCTCTAGAGGACCCTGCTTGAGCAAGGGGCTTAGACTAGACGATCTCCAGAGGTCCCTTCCAACCTCAACCTGTTCTGTGATTCTGTGTAACATAGCAAATGAACCACTCCTTGACTTGGATCCATATGCATGACACAACTTTTCCTGATACATAAACCAACGTGAGTTCCTTTGAGGGTAGGATGCTGTTGATAACCTGAAATCTGACTGATAACCTAGCAAGCAAAAGGGTTTTGAATGGGCAGTTGTTGCTAATGAGCTGGGATTCAGCAGAGCAGCAATAAGCCACCTCCACTTACCTGGAAGAAGATTCAAGCTCAAAAATTTTGGAATCCTGTAAAGTCTGATAAATGACAAGATGACATACAGTTTGATAGATTTTATTTTATGCTTTCCTTGTCATCAGATTGTCTTGCCTTATGAAGCCCTAATTAGAGCTTCTCTAAGGAGAGAGAATTCCTTCTCTCTCCTTATGCATTGCAAAGAAATGTTATGAGATAATTACTACAACAGTTGTATGACCCTTAGCATGACTCAGTGGCCCGTGTGCTTTCAGAGTTCACAAGCTCAGCCAGTGTCTTTAGTGCCAGGACTACTCCCAGGTGCAGCTTTTATCTGGCTTCCTTCTTTGCTGGGTCAGGCACTGCCACTCCATAGACCTCAACAGGGAAAAGAGAGAAGGTCAAAGCCAGAATTATGTTTCCTGCAAATCAACAGGAGTTGAAGAGCAGAAAGATAAAGTTAGTGACTCTTATCAGTTACAACATTACATCAGTGTGGAAGGTCTGGGTAACGTACGTTCATGGTTGTGAAAGGAAGCCAGACCAGTGGGTGCGAAAGCAAGTATTTTGTTCTGTCTGTTGTCACTCTATTTTACAACCAAATGTGAAGCTCTGGGGTAAGGCTGTTTCTATCAAACAATGCTGCTTGAGCTCTGTTCCACTATGAACAGCACTGCTGTCTCAAGAAGCTATTTGATGCCTTCTGAGTAACCATTTTCCCTTTCATCCCTGTAGCTTGGGATCACCATTTTTCCTGCCAGTAGTGTAATTTGATAGATTTAAGCCACCTGCAGACTTGGCAACAAGGATAGCATTACTAGGCACTGCAAGTTCAAAAACTTCCACTGAAGGTAATGGGCGTTATAAGCTGCTCGCCGCTGCTGAAAATCACGGTTGCCTGTAGGAACTGAAACCCAAATTTAGAGTATTTCATCTTGAAAATGCTTCATAGAAGGCATAGCTATACTCCCCCATCCCTCCCACAAGTACAAATCCAGCCCACATCTACACCTTGTCACAATCTCTCAGCGTTTATATTCCATAGAAACACTGGAATGTTCCACTGAGGTGGAAGAACTTGGAATAAAATATGGTTTAAAATAATATTTTGACAGCTAGGAGAAGTAAATATATATGCTTTTTGTAAAACCAAATGTTGCAGCCAATGACCTCCAGTAGAAGCAGAAACGTTGTGTACAAAGTCTCTTTTGTAACTGAGCACAACACTGTAATTTTGCTGTCTCATATTCAGGTATGAGCAATCGCGGGATAATCTTAGCAAGACAAAGATCCTTCAGAAAGACCTGGAACAGGCTGGAAGAAAGGGTTTAGCTGATAAACTTCACTGCTTGCATTGGGGACAGCAGAAATCAAGCAGCAGAGTAGAACTGTCTTCTGCTTTTCCCTTTCTCATCACTGTGCATAAAAAAATTATCAACAAAGAGGGGCTAAATAAAATTAATCAATTTAGTCAGAAGTATCCCTAAGTTCCTGCAGTGAAAACATCACCATCTCTCCCTTCCAATAACATAGGTGAGGTTCATTTTTAAAGTAATTCTATAGGGTTCTTCATAAGCGTTAATACTAGAAATACAATCTGATCATTTTAAATGCTCACTTTATAAGAAATGTCTAAGATTGTTCAAGATATATAATTAGTAAAATAAACTGATTTGCATAATATCTGCATCAATAATCGATTTGCAAAGTGAGCTAAAACAGCATGTTAATTGGATAAGCATGTTAACTGCATACTCTCCTACAACAGCTGATCATATTAGTTATTGGCAGTCTGTCAGCACTACATAAATATAGCTGTTTCGTATCTTCCTGCACGTATTTTTTCTTCTGAACTGTTTCCTGTGAGTAGTCAGTGTTCAAATGTGTAAATGACTAAGTCCCATGATAATGTTTCCTGATTGATTAAAAAAAAAAAAAAACTTCTGTAATTGTTTGAAGCAAGTCAAAAATTCACTGACAGAATTTGCTGGTAAGAATGTGCAAATACACCAAAATTGGTGTTATTGGAAAATAACTCCAGAACTGAGAAACTGAGTAGAATCTTCCTGCTTTCTAACTGGTACAAACTCTGCACTTCTTAATATATCTGAATAAAGTTAAAAGAACAACTTATTATTTGTTATAAATACAGTAGTAAAAACTGCTTAATTTAAAAGAATGGAGTATTGAAATAATTTCTTTGTTTAAAATACATGGACATTTTTTTCATGTCCATGCATGATTACAAAAACGTGTGAATACAACAATGAATTGAGTCCTTACTTCCAAAAGACTGTACAGAAAAATAAAAGCAGTTTCACAACACAATTTGGGAATAGCAGGATAAAAGGAGAATACATTCATCTACCAAATTAGCACAATTCAGCAATGCAGTTACATATTTTTGTGTAATGTTAAACATGTGACTACTGACTGCCTACACGTACGTGGCCGTAAGCATGTTGCACAATACAAGCTTAGGTGAAAATATGAATGCAAGTCCTATTAAAGACAAGTGCTCTGAAGTGATCTGGCTGCCCCTCAGTAACAGCACACGTTCCCAAAAGTATCTAGACAGAAATTAGTTGAAGTCTAGATTTATCTTATTTGCTGTAATACATCTCCACTATGAATTAATTTTCTCTATAGGTAGCTTCCTGCTTCTCAGTTACTGTTGCTAAACTCCTTCCAGAATCTTGTCAACTTAACTTGAAGCTATATAAAGGGTTTTTTTTTTTTACACTATATTGCAGCATGTGGTCCAGACCCACTCTAACCTGTCTCAAGTATGTCTGCAAGAAGGCTGAAAGGTGTATCACTTAAGATTCTGGACTCTTCCCCAGATTGCTACCTTTGCTTTTGTATGTATACTCATTCAAAAAAAAAAAAAAACAAAAAAAGCCATAATACAGTTATTTAAAAGACTACATTTAAGGAGCTCACTCAGTGGATGGATAGAAGTAAGTATGATTCATGAGGCCAGATTCTAGACTGTGTTAGGGAAGCTTAGTGCTTTTTCACCTGGAGAGAAACATCTCGTACTCGCAGTGTCCATGTAGTTTAATGGGGGGGATGGGGACACACCAGGTGCACTGCATGGTATTTCTTCTGCTCCATCATCCAACCTGTCCAGCTGCAATATGGTCAAGAGAGGGTCTGGCTTACCAAAGCCATATTGTCAAGACAGAGAGAATTCAACCCGTTGAGTTTGTTTGTGCCAAAATTTAAAAGGTTGTATCACACATATTTAAAGATAGACACACAGATTTTAATCAATCTATTATCTAACAAATGCATCCATTTTATTTTGCTACAGAAGGCAAAATTTCTGCTTTAACTGTGCAAAACGTCTTCAGGACCCTCCTCTTTCCAAAGACTGCAAGTTTTCTAGATATTCAGTGAGAGCTTCTATCTCCGCAAACTCCAGCAGTCTGTTGATTAGCTTATCTAGTGCTTCTTTCCCACTTAGAATTTCCTATGAAAAAATAACAGCAGATATAAGCATTACTGAGTGTACACCAATAGAATTTTGAAATGTTGACTACTCAAAAGAGGAGTTCCTGGAACACACTTTGCCTGGAGTCTTATCTTAACTCACCCATTTGCCAGTCTGTGCAGCTCCCCCATGTGAAAGCAACACGGCGTGGTACACAGCAGCATGACTTTTACTGGCTGCCTCTGAAAAGCACATTGATCCTGGCACCAACAAAAGGAGCTACTGGTGCCTGCTTGTCATGCTTTTGCAATCTATGTATTTACATGAATTCTCCCTTAGCAAGAACAATTGGGGATTGAAGGACCTAGTTCCAATATTGTCGCTCACGCTAAGAACTGGTTTCTTTTACAAGGAAAGCTTAACTAACTTGTGTTGGACAGTTTTTTGCTCCAAAGTTTTATTCAATAATAAGAAACGGCACAAGTTTCCAACACTAAGTAAGTGAAAAGCTGGACCCACAAAAGTAGTTTTTTATGCAATCATAGAACTTTTCCCCATTCTCCTCCATTATGATATTAGTATACCTGTTCCCTGCTTCATCAAATATGAAACATTCCATATTCAGTATGGTCTGTGTTCTCTGAAGATACAGTAAGGTTATAGTAAAGCTGTAACCTAAGCTCCCCAAAAAGGGGGGGGGGGTCTTCCTAAGTTTTATCCTAAAATTTAAAATATCGTCCATAACTTTAATACACAAAAATACATTATTGGATATTGGTTTCCCTGTAGAAAATATAAAGTTTCAATAATATATAGAATTTTACTCAAAATATCAGATAACCTTAAAATGAAAGCACTCATTTTCCTTTCAACTGTGGCTTGCAAGACAACCATAAAGAAAAGCTTTTTTCTTTTCTCCCTCTAACATTAAAGGGAGGAGGAGCCAGTGGCTTAATTAAAAAAAAAAAAAAAGAACTTCTTGTCAGTGTTTTTTTTGGTTGCATTAAGCTCCAAGTATCTCAAATTTTACTCGCTCTGTTCGGCCAAGGGACTCTTGAAGTGTACAAGTGAGGACTAGACTTTTACACTTTCGATCATTTTTCATCTGCAGTAGGAGAAAAATATACACAGAACTAGCCCAACTGCTGGATATCCTTTGCAGGCCATCTTTAACAGTATACCGCATCACCCAGACAGAAAAAAAAGCTTAACCTTTCTAAGTCTATGATGTTCAGTCAGTGCATAGATGGTCACCCAATTTCCTGATACATTTTAAATTGTCTTCACAAGGTTAATTTTTTCTGCTTATGGTACACACAGGTATCTATCTTTTAAAGCTCTCACAAGCAACTGTTACCTTGATATTGCGTGCATCATACGAGATCCTGTGGTCAGTGACTCTGTCTTGGGTGAAATTATAAGTACGAATTCTCTCTGCCTGGGCTCTTGTTCCCAACTGAAAATATTTTTTTTAAAAAAAACAATATCTTATAAAGCAGCATGCCTCAAATAAACAGTAATAGTTCAAACTGTTCTACCGACAAACCTAGTGATCACTGACTTCAGACTTTTTTCTGGTAATTGTGCTCTCATTAAATTGTATTATTTGCTATTCTATATCACAGATCAAATTTTAATATCCTCTAGCACACTTTTCTTTTCTAGCTCTGTAGCTGGAAGAATTACGTATGTCTCAGCAGTCATGTAAGGCAAGAGATACATACATCCCCACGTGTCATTAGTTCAAACATGTAAGATGGTTCTTTTCTTTTTTGGGGTGTTGCAACGCCTACAAAATATAATGAGAGTAGGCACCATTAATAATAGAAGTAGCACAGTCAAAGGGTACTACACAGAAGGGTGGCAAAGCAGTTATATTTGGCCGAAAGAAACTAACATCAAAAGAGGAGCAAATTAATAATACAGACAGCAGTCCTCTAGTGGTCAAATGAAGGAGTGCAATCAAACATAAAAGTTTTAAAAGAGAATTCCAAATAAGAGCTTTGTTGCCCAACTGATTGCTTTATTAAAATGGAGAACTAAATGCTCAAAACTGCTTGGAGAAATGGGTGTCTGATTCAATAGGCTTTTTATGAAAGTTTCATCTGCACCTACTTTTACATTTCAAAACGAGGAATTTATTTAATGTATCCTGGAACACTATGAAAAATAATTTACTTTCTCCTGATTTTCTGTAATATTAATATAAATGTACACCTAACTCCTTTCTGCATCTTTGAAAACTCTCAAGGTAAAATTATTAACAGAAGATAAATGGCTTGCAGATTACAATGACTGAGTTAGTCTGCAAGAACAATACACTTAAATACAATCTGAAATGAGTGATTAAGTAGCTGAGCTGGAAGAATTCCACTATTTTAAAGTATTTTTATTTCTGTTGATCACTGTAGAAGTTTACGCTGTAAACAACAAAATGTTCAAAGGACAGGAAAAGAATGATAGCACATTTTCAGAGAAAAGTACAGTCTGCAGTGTAACTTCAGGTAACTTTTATGGAAGTTGTTTCTTCCTTAAAAAGTTACCTAAACAATAGAAAATAATAAACTTACGTAACTGTGAAGTGGTGAGATTGTTTATTTACTCTTATTTCTGTGTGATCTTATCAAAAACTGTTTTGGATTAAAATACAGCTCTGAAGACTTCTTATCCCAATTTTCCTTGAGAAAAAAACTCCTTACTACTGCTCCGATTGTATAATGCGGCCCTAACAGAGACATTCATTACAACACAGAACAGTTGAAGTCGGAAGGAACGTCTGGAGCTCATCTAGTCCAACCCCTCTGCTCAAGCAGGGTCACCGAGAGCACATTGCCCACGATCCTGTTGTTAGCCCATCATGTTGCGTGTTAGCTTTTTGATAATTACAGCTACAGTCTCACTAAAAACTCTTTTTCCATTACTTGAGAAGTAGACACTAGGTTTCACTGGGGGTAAGTAAAAAAACAGACTTACCGTTTTAAGGCAGACTTACATGCTAACACAGAAGATTCTCCTTTGTAAGCGCACCTGGTTTGACATGCACACTGACACACTCTGCCACTGTCACTTTTCAAAACGATCAGCAACAAAATTACAACACAGCACCCCCCCTTCTTAGATGTCATTAATCACATGTTCTCACCTGCAGTTTTCTGGCACTCTGTTCTTGGCTTAGTTGTTTTTCAATCATCTGCTGGTACAGCTTAGCTCTCAGTGTTCGCAGGGCTATCTCCCTGTTCATTTGCTGTGATCGCTCCTGCTGGCACTCAACTGTTAGTCCTTTGTAGAAGAATTTAAGAGAGCACGGATCAAAGGGCCATTAAAACAAAGAACAAACAAACAAAATTAATTCTAACATATTAGGCAAATGAAACCTTCTAAAGTGCTTGCTAGTAGGCCTATCAGCCGCAACATAAAAAGTCATTTTAACTCACTGGCCAAAACCATTAGTAAATTTTTTAACATTTCTCAGCTCCACCAGGGGTTTCGGTGTTCACTGCTACAGAAAAGCCTGGGAGATTTTACAGTTTCCTGAAGCATATAAGTTTCTGACATTACCTTCAGAAAACAGGGGTTCACTGCAATTAGCTATTTCATGTTGAAAATGTAATCAGCATAGTCTAAAACGTTTAAAAGAGTGTAACACGGGTTTTAAACATCTTAGTCTAGATAAGCTCTCAGAGACTGGAAAATTCATTATTCTAGCAGAGAAGGCTGTCAAGGCAATATGGAACAGACTTAAAGTGAAATAAAGCAATAAAAAAAGAGACCTTAAAGAGAGAATTAGTATTTTTTTTTTATTTCACATTTTATTTCTGAAATAAAAAGTCATAGCGTAAACAACAGTTTTCACATCAGCATTGGAATCTCTCGTGCCTAAAAAGATTCTGCACCCGGAAAAATAGTAGCCAGTGAATTTCATTAAAAATAAATCCTGAGAAAGACAGAGAGGTCCAGCACAGACATTATCTTCCCATTAGTATACCTTCACGTTGCCACTCAACATAGGATAGTTTATCTACTACTGAATGAAAATCTTCATGTCTCCCTTCTCAGGCCTGTGATTACCCAGGTTCCAGCTAGGCAACGTGCACCCTCAGTTGCCACTGACCCTTACAGCTGAAGGTATAGAGCACTCAGCAGTTTTTTTTTCCATCTGGTGGTCCCTCCTTTTTGTCTTTCATTTCTCAAAGACAGTCTGCTTCTTAAACAGACGCTCTGAAGACAAAACTGGCATGAGAGCAGCAGGTTGACCGCCGTGCTGCTGGTGCATACTCCCCTCCTCATTCATTGCCTTGCTAGAACACGGGTAGCAGGAGAAGGGGCGACTACCTTTTTCAGTATCAAGCCCACAAACTCCCTGTAAGAGAGAACTTGCAGGATCCTAAGTTTTCGTTTGAGGATTCAGATTTTGAAAGTGATTAGAAGCACAAAATACAGCCAGACTTACCTGTGGGAAGGTGTACAATTCTCACAGCACTATCAGTTTTGTTAACATGTTGTCCTCCTGCTCCTTTGGCCCTGAATGTATCTGTACGCAAATCTTTGGGATCCACTTTAATATCAACCTAGAATGAAAGCAAATCATTACTTTCTGCTCACCCTAATATGTTTTTGAAAGTCTTTTCAAATCTGCTCTCAGTTCTCTTCCAAAATTAGTCCTCTACAACTGTAATCACTTTACTTAAATTGGTATTTTTAAAAGAATTATTACACCTAAAAGAAATGCAGCAGCAAACATCTCTGCCTGCAAAGCATAATACTTTCACTTCTTTTTTTTCTTTTTTTGAGCTGTACTCCAGGTCCTTCACAAAACAAGGGGAGGGGGACATAAAAAACCAAAGCAAAATTAACAAGTTCTTGTAAAAATAGCTTTGGCAAGGAAAGTGAAAAATAAGCAAATCATCAAAAACAACTACTAACCAGCAGTGCGAGGTTCTTGTTCAACAAGTCAAGCCTGAATGATTTTTACAGCAGCGCTTAAAAACATCTAACTGAGGAAAACTGGGCGTATCCAGATCCAAAACAGGATTGCAGCAGCGGAAATAGGAGTCCATGATGACCTGGACCATAGTTTGAGCTCGGTGGATGGGAAAGGAACATTCAGATCCGAACAATGTTGCAAGGAAGCAAGAGAACTTGCTGGAAAAACCTACCAGATCTGGTTTTGGTTACTTTGTGTTTAAATTGCTGGTTGAGTATCTGTGAGATCTCACAAAGACTTGCCAACACACTCATTCAAATGCAAAGCATACTGTCCTTGATTTAGCAGAGAAGGACGCTAATAATTTAAATGAAAAAAAAAAAAAAGAAGGATTTCTGCTGCTGAATCACATTACTATGCAACACTGAATATTTCTTTGGCTATATTTCCTGTCTTAATACATTACGTAATTTAAAATTGGTTTACTCCTAGCAAGTCAGTTTTCTACTGACTTGAAGCTGGAATGCTTAATGAAATGATCGTTGATTTACGTTCCACTTCAGGCAAGCACAAATCTCTGCAAAGTCACTTCTGATGATCCATTTAAACATGTAAGGAACCATTTAGCTAGACAGAGAGCCAAGGACTACTGCCTGAGCTTGTGGTTTACTTGCTCAGATTTGCACAAGGCACTTGGGTACCAATAAAATCCCAAAACAGTAACAGTAACACGGTTTTAAATAACACCTACTCCAGTGCCAAAACGGATGAGCAGGGAAACACCTCCTTGCTGCCCTGATTAACAGTTTACCTCCTCTGGCTGAGGGAGGACAATAACTGACATTGTCCCAGTGTGAATACGCTGCATTCTTGACGATAGGCCCGTCTCAGGGATTCGTTGGACTCGATGAGTCCCTCCTTCATATTTCAGATGCCTGTAGACATCACGTCCTGAAATCTGAGCAGCTGCATGATGCAAGCCACCTATAGAGACAAATAGCGTGTGATAAATATAGCACAAAAACACAGCTTTTAATTTAGTCGTCTTGGAGGAGCGTCTGAAGAATTACTGTACCTATCTCAGCCGGTGTATAGTTCAGAATGTCAAAGGTCCAACATTTATAGTCCGCATAGTTCTGGTACATCTCAAACATTTCTTTAGTGAACTGTTGGCAGATGTCACCTAAAAATATAAAGGCACTACCACATAAATAGCAAATCATAAAATGGCAGCCACCACTTTTTAGATTTAGCTGCGACTATAACCATGGTCCTTAGACAGATTAACACTCTTCTTTAGATAGGGCTATTTTATATCATTAAAGTGTAACAATACATTAAGAATAACCCATAAGAGCCTTAAGAAGTTGGATGAAGATTTGAAGCAATCTTTACTGCAGTGACTTTCTGACCTCCAGTTGTTCTGCCAGCTGTCACTTCTAATATGACATGACTTCCATCATACTTTTCTTTTGGCACTAGAATCTGGAAAAGCTGAAAAGGGGCAAAAAAAGAAAAAAAGAAAAAAAGAATGTCACTATCTCCTTCATCACTCTGGATCTCCTTCTAACCAAATTTATAGCCAGCCTTCGCAATTACCATAGCTTGAGCACACATAATCACAGATTTCTATCGGTAAACTAGTAATTGGGGGTAAAAACTGCCTAATGGCTATTGCAGCTCAGTGCAGTCAGGGTGGAAATAGGATATGCCGCTGCATCCACAGGAAAGCTAGCTGAAAATTTGATCCCACAAAACCATGTCAGATCACCCACTCCAGCCCCAACTACCTGCGAACATGAAGTTATTAGCTATAAACCAGCCATTTTTTTTACACAAATATTGATCTTATTTTTCAGAAGATTCTATTTCCTATTATCTTAATCTGAACATAGAAGTGAGCCCAAACACAGAGCTTTCCACTCAATCGTTTCAGCTCCTCTGTTTATAATGAATTTCCCCATTCGTGGGATGCTGTCAGCTGAAACAAAAATGAAAGATTGAAAGTTTCAATTAGAAATCTTTTCAAGAACGTACTCCACTGCCATAAATAGTTACTAGGATGTCACGCCAGGTCTCAACAGCACAGATTCACTTTTTTTTTTTTTAATATATCCCCTTCAGCATCTAGAGACAGAGAAGCAAGCAAACAAAAATGACTAAAATAATGAGCTTCTAAGATGCATTTGTCAGTGAGAGGTTTACTAATAATTAATGTTGCCACATCTTTTTGGGAAGAATATAAGAAGCTGGACTTCTGATTTATTAAACGCATGTGTCATAGGCTGTTGGTAAGACCACAAAGGAGCATTTTTCTGACATTTTTATTTACAAAGCTGTGTAATTTCACCTCCGGCTCACCTTTCTGCACAATGTGTTGATTTTGTTATCAAGGATTTCCTTCTCTTCTAAGGCAAGCTCTAGAAGTTGTTTCTCATCTCTGTTGTCTAGCTCTAAATTCCAACAATAGGAACAGACGTTAGCCAATCTCACTTAGCTTAGAGCAAATTGTAAGACAGCTATCAAAAGACATGCAATACAGCATATAAAAGCTGGCAGTGCATGCCGTTCCAGCTTCCCAGCATGAAATAACAAACAAGAACACCCTAAGCCAGGATGCATACTTCTAACTGATCTTATTTTCAGGGGTGGAAGTAGTAGCAGACTAGAAGGGAGGCACAAAATCTCGTACCTCTGAAGCTCTAGCTGAAGGCTCAAAGCCTGCAGCAAACAGAAGTCAGTCCCACCCAACAGTTACTCACTGTCAGTTATAACAAACTGACAATTATGTGACACATACTGACAGTCCAGGGCCAAATCCGCAAATAGATTTGATAAAATATGTCAAATACATGCCTGGGAACAACAACTGCCTCAGTTTCCCTTATCACAATTTCTCAGGCAATGAAAATTTTGATTTCTGCATGTGCCCAGAAACACCCACATATTAAACAGTTTGTAGCCAACTCATTAAGGTGAACAAAAATAATATAAACGTGGTGGTAATAGTGTGGTTTCTAACCCTCTGTCCCCTGCTATTCAAGAGATCAATGAGATGTGGGAGGTGTGGATTCAAGCCACCAGGATGTGGGAGACCTCACTTCAACTGTTTGATTTGCTTAAGGAAATTCCCTTCCTTCTACTTGGCACCTGTGAGACCACACCTGGAGTACTGCGTCCAGTTTGGGGCTCCTCAGTACAAGAAAGCCATGGACTCCTCAGTACAAGAAAGCCATGGACTCCTCAGTACAAGAAAGCCATACTGGAGTGAGTCAAAATAAAAGATGGCTGATCAAAGGGGAGCCTGGCATCCTCTGTACACAATGGAGGATCAGTACAAGATGAAAATAAATCAAAGGCTTCTGGGTAATCCATAAAGCATTGTTAATGATTAGTTAAACAGTAAAAAACTACATAGCGTGAGCAGAGATGGAAGAACGGTCTGGCGGGCACCAACTAGTTTGAGGTTCAAGGGATCCATGTCCCATTCCTACCTCCCTGCAAACCTCATCTTTTCAGAATTCACTTGATCTACCCCATCACCAGTGACAAACCGGGGGATAATATTTTCCTGCCTCATTGAGTGTGGCTAGAACGAAGTCCAACAGCAATTGTGAGGAATTCAGGTATGAGGGAGAAGAGGCTCAGTCAGGGCTCTAAACAGAAAACAAACAACAGTCAAATGAATGGGAGACCTATGTTTTAACCGGGCCACACGACAGAAAGCATAGAGAGTATAACTGAGCCCTATCTAATTAGCTTCTTGGCTGAGGTTTTTCTTCCACTTACTCTCTTTTTCTTTCCTGCAATGCTAACTCACTTCATCCATCCACATCATAATTTATGGAACGGCCCAAAATTTTTCATTATCTTTTTTGATCCAAGAACAGCCTTTTTAAACTGAAGTATGAATTTTCCACAGTTTTAACACTTTCTAATTCTTCCAAGAACATTTCTTTTCCAGCTTTCAGTGTTTGTCCCTCCTCATCTTTGCTTCTTTTCATCTTTCTCTCCACTTGGAGAATAGCAAAAGAGTCGGGAGGAATAAAATAGTTTTAAAATCATGATTTTTTTCAAAAGCATGAACATACCCTTTCATTTCCAAAACTAAAGAATATAAATATCTTCTACCTTTCTAAAGCAGATGCATTTTTATCAGCTTTATGGCAATACGGCTGTTACCATTTTATTGGTATGCCTTGGTCTCTTCTTTGAGATACACTGTGTGACCTTTCATCCTCTTCCACTTACAGCCATCGGCTATCCATTTCTCCTTTCCTTTGGTTTACTCTTGCTTCACTTCTTTAATGTAAGCCCTTTCTCTCCAGGGCACTATCTCCCTCTATTAATTTGCACTTGTAACTGAATGACTTTTGCCGAAACATTGCACCTTTACTTATTCTGTAAGTTACTTTTACTCTCTATGTACTCTCTCCTTTCTGATCAGTATCAACACGGACATTTGTTTTTTTATTTTTTACCCCAACTTCTACTGCAACTTTGTACTGAAAAGCACCAGACATGCTTCTTATGCTAATCATAAATTTTCATTCCACTTAACGACTTCTCAAATATCTCCAAAGAAGTATTAATTTTTGCCATTTAAATTAGAAGGTGACAAATTAGCATCTAATGTTGAAAGTCCACTTAATTTGCTTGATAAGTATCTATGAGCTGGCTAGATAGAACCTGTTTTAAATGACACAGATTAAGTCTGCACTTGTCAAATACATTGGACTCACCGAAGTGTTTTCCTTCAGTTCATGCTATTGTTGGTTCCATCAAAAAATAACCTTAAAACAGAAACATTTCCAAACTATCTCTTCTAGACACATAGCCCTGAGAGTCCAGATAGTCCCTATTTTCCCAGAACAGCTGTAATAAGACCTCAGACTGAAACGAGGTGAGGTGAAACGAAAGGAAGCGGTTGGATCAAGAAAACTTTAGCAGCACGTAAGCTCCCAGGAACAGATATGACCACAGAGGTTCCATGGCCAGCTTAACTCTTACTTAAAAGCCTTTCTTAAAGGCCAGGCGGTAGAGCTTATCACAAGCAAAGCCACTACTTTGGAGGTGGTGGTGGGGAACAAACGCATTATCCTTACCTTTGCACATGGCTTCTAACTCTTGAACCTCTCTTTCTGCCTCTCTGATTTCTTGAAATACAGTTGCAATTGGAGACAGATCAGCATGTCTTCTCTTCAGGGATTTTTCCTCAAAGTCATTTACTGAGCCAGCATTTAACAGATGACTAAGCCGCTGGTATTCCTTGCTTAGAGTTTCTAGGTACTTCTGCATAGACTCATGCTTCCACAGTGCATGAGAATCCTGATGTTTTTTCCTAAGCCGACTGCTAAACGTCAGAGTGAATCTAGCTGTGTCTAACAAAGATTTTGACCTCCAGTTGTGCAGTCCCATCACATAACCCATCCTCTTAGCGACAGAAGGAAGAGGACAGCTGTGGAGCTGACCATGACAGCAGCGCTTAGTAAGCAGGCTCCTGAAAAGCCAGACACTTTGGAGAGGTTTCATTTTGTGTCTTATTTTTCCACCACCTGGAATTAAAAGTAGACAGTACATGGGCTATTTTTTATTATCTGGGGAAAGGGGGCATTCTATTTTCAAAAGCTGTATCAGGCTCAACGCATAGTCCCACCATCCCACCTACTTTAGCCCTGGTTTAAACTGGCAAAGAATGTCAGCACAGTTGTACTGACTGAGGGTTGGAAAAAATCTCCCTCACCTCACCAAATAATTTACTTATGCTACGGAAGCTCTACTGTAGGTGCTGCAGACAGTACAGACAGTAGCTTAATTTTGCCACACATCTCATTGGAAAAAGCCAACCATTTCACACTCTACTGGCAAAAGAACAATGCGATTGAGAAGAAAAATCTATACTAGAGATGCATAATTCTATATAGAGAACGTATGAAATGTGCCGATATTTTTGTGCAAAATTCTGCTCCCTACTGCAACAGGGAGTAATTTGGGCATGTGGACATTTGTAGTATCGGGCTGATCTTGCAACAGGTTAGTCAAGGGGACTATTCATGCACATGAAGTTACTCACCTATGCATTAATGCTGTGTAAGACATGGGAGCAGTACTTTATGTTCCCTGTGTACTCCTTTCCGTGATATACAAATAAGAGACAAATATTTTCATTAAGAAAAGGGAATAAGAAGCAACTCCTCTGAAATACAATCCCTCTGTTTTTCTGACAAACCTAGCCCTCAGGTATGGAGGACATAGCCTCTCGTTATGCCTATTGCTCTAGGACAGGTCTGTCTTCTTCAGTGTACATCATAGCATTGTACATCATCAACCTCACAAACTATGCTTTGAATTCTTATCAGATTGTAAAAATTGATATTGATGCCCAAGCATCTACCAAGAGGTCTAAACCTGCTTGCTGCATTCATGTAAGTCACTCTTACTCTAAGACTATTCATGTAGAAAAGGTTTAATGAATAAGGAAGCACTCCTTAATATCTCTGCCAGTACCACAATCCCCTCTGTCCACCAACTTCTACAGAAAAAAGTCAGTTCGGAAAATAGTAATCTTTTGCAACAGGGTCTCCTTAAGCACACATTTCAATTTCCTGACACAATGACTTTTTACTCATTAGTGACAAGAGTTTCCGTACATCTTCAGGCATTTTACTAACACATTACTATGACATTCTAAGCACTCATCTCGACAGCTCTCCTCATCTATTTACTTTCCTCCATTTGCCCGACAATGACAGCAATATACAGTAAAAACCAACGTGTTCCAAATTGCTTGCCCAGTTATTTGTTCTACTGCCCGCAGGAACTGAAAGAGCTAGAGAGGGAAGGAAGGGCCTTTGTTTTACTTCTGCACCTTCCCCTGATTCCCCAGGCTGGTAAGTGCTGTCAGACCCACAGCGACAACTTCACGACTACTTTGATTTACAGAAAGCCGACAGTACCCTCCCATGGACTGTTCTAGTGACGAAAAGCAACCGCAGCGCAGGGATCACGCTTCCCCCACCACAGCAACAAAAGCAAAAAGCACAAATCGGTTCGTCCTCCACAATCCTGGACTTCGTTCCACAGGGCCACGTGTGGACTTCATTCAAAAAAGCCCAAATCCGCTGATGTCAATGGGGTTGCTCCTACCGATTTCAGTTCGGCGTGGCCCATCATCTCCTGTCAGATGTCAAGCAGCACTAACAGGACTAATGGTTTAATTAAGAAGAGATGTACTTAACTAAGGACTAACTCGACTAACTCGCAGTAGAGTTCTGCCTGAGCTCTCCAAAACAAACTCTTTTGTTTTTAATGCCCCAAGACGCTAAACAACTGTGTGACTCAGACCTTCAAGGAAGTCCACAACTTCAGTATAGCTTTGTTTTGTTCAATAAGTTTTAAAAAGCTATCTCCTCCTTAATGGAGATTTTGGTCTCAGGACATTTGTGCAGAAATAAAGATACATAAAACTTTCAGGGAGCTATAAAGAGCAGACTATCTGTAAATGCTTTTCAAACCTGTTCTTAGTCAGTTTTTTTTACGCGACACAACTACCCTGTGGGCAGCTCAGCTGCATCACAAACTGGAACGGGTACATCAGAAAAGACAACAGCAATTGCCTTATGAATTTATTAACTAACTTCTCAACCGCTAATTAACTTCTTATTAGCTAACAGTTTAATTTCCAGGCAGCACTTCTCAATGCCACGATGGTTTCAAGAGGCTCTTTAAAAGCCGCGTCTGATAATCCAAGATGCTGTTAACGCCCGGCAACCGATTTGACGCAGGCAGGTGAGAACAGAGAGCTGCGCGGGACACCCGCACACCCCTACCTCCAAACATGCCTCCCAGGCCTCGCTGCCCGCCTTAACAACCCCCGCGGCCCGATTCTCCCTAACGAGGCAGCCGCGAGGGGCCCC